GCGCGGTGTAGAGGGCCGTGGACGCGCCGCCCTTGGTGACCTTCGTGAGCAGCGGCTTGCCGACGGTCGCCGCCGTGGAGACGGCCAGCAGGAGGAGCACCATGACTGGCTTGGACTGCCACATTTCGGCCGGTGTTGCGTCAGTTGGGCAGCTCAGCTTACACTTTGGTAGGATGCTTGCTGTGAATGAAGGGACGTACGTGGGTTGTATATATGCACGTAGATTGTCCAACCAATGCATGCGTGTTCAAATGTTATCCCGATCAGTGAGGATCAATCCAAGCGTGGTCAATGTTGCTTAACGAACTAGTTCCAATTGTCTACGTTATCGATCACAATCACTGAGTCACAGATGATTCTCGTTCAAAGTCCATGCGAGATTATCCAAGATCTTGCACGCGTGCATTTACTGGTAGCTAGACTTTGCATGCATGCATGCGTTTCAGAATATTTTTGTGTGTGTTTACATTCTTGATACTTCTAGTCGAGTTCTTGTGTGTTTACATTCTCTTTTTTGCTAACTAACCACTGATATGTTTCCGTGACATCCGTTGGTTAAGACAAGTTGAAAGCACCTGGTGTCGGCATCGGTTCTACGTGCCACGTCCCATTGCATTATTGCAGTGTACGTGTCGAACTCGGAGACTTGGAAACGTGCGTTCTCTTGGCGGCCGCTGAACCACGTCCCATTAACTCAGTCTCTTTTAGATCTTCCATACACACCTCATGTTCAAGTAAACATTCTTAAGCAATGTTATGGCCCAGATTTGCATCAGCACAATAAGGGACAGTCTACTTCTTTTGCTCAGTCCCCTTCTATAATCCCCTCGTCTTCAATCCCAGATGCCTTCCGCCAGAATGCACCTACAAATCCTATTTCTCTCCCACATTTGCCCAGTCTACCCACACACTCTACTGCTCACATCATTCAGACTTCTACTGCTACTGCAATTTCAGCTGCTATGAAGGACAAAATTCGTAGTGAGAAAGAGTCTTTCATTCCTCTTTCTCCCCATAAGTCTCCTCCATCAGATTCCCACCGCCTTTCGCTGGCCTCTCCTAGATTCAGTCCCAAAAGGCCGTCAGAATCGCTCTTTGGTTTGGCTCTCCCACCGCCAAAGCGGCTCGGGGTGCCTGGTGATGGAGAAGGTGCAGAAGCGCAGAAGGGTTTCGCGGCTGATGCGGGTCCGATCGGAGTCGTGTCTCGTCCCAAGAGGCAGACTCATACTGGATTGGGCATTCTTGGAGCTCTGCCTGCCGATGTTCTTGACCACGGCCCAGCAGCTCAAGCTGGTACTTTGGGAGCTGCCACGGTTGCCCTTGCTACACCCAAACATACAGCAGATAAGGGAGCCAGCTGTCGTTTTGGACTTAGCAAGTGGGACGTTCCTCCATCTGGGAAGCGTACGGGTATGCGTCCCCATTTCAGTGGGATTTCTCGCCATCGCATTAGTCATTCCACTTGGCACCATTCTGATGGCACCTCTCAAATGGGTTACATCGCTGCTATGTGTGGAAGCAGCAGTAAGGTTATGACAATCACGAATCTCGGGACCTCTATTAGTCGGAGTGGAATGGTTGAACAACGGAGCAATGAGGCAGCTGCTTGCTATGACCCATGGCCAATTCGAACTCCTACAGGATCTATTTCTGCAGATTCAGACAATTCCCGTCAAGGGGCTTTCTCTCCTCCTCAAGTGGATCATTTTAACAACAGGGGTGACTTGTCTGGAGCCGGAGCTCAAACCATGATGGAAGCTCAGGATAACCTTAGTTCCTCTCGTCATGGCGGCACAATGGATCTCAGGGGCAGTCAAACCGCGGATGAAGTGGACTTTCGTGGTCAACAGATTGCAGACTTGGCTCACTCCTCTTCTTGGGCAGCGGCGCATGGCCCTAACGCGCCTCGGGCGCCATGAGAGCCATTGCTTGGAATTGCCGAGGTATGGGCCGGGGCCTCGGCAATGACCGTATGCTTTACTTGGCTAATTTGATGCGGTCCGCGAAATCTTAGGTAACGTTTGTTTCTGAAATCAAATCCTCCAAAGTTTGTTCTGTTGGTTTGGTTAATAGGTTTAATGTTGCTAATGGTTTTGTTGTTCCTTCTAGAGGTGCTTCGGGAGGGCTTTGGCTGATGTGGACCGATGATCTTAAAGTCTCTGTTCATAGTGCTGCTTTCCACTACATATTAGCTAAAGTAGTTCATGTAGCTTCGGGGGTCAACTTTTGTTTGATTTGTATATATGGTGACCCGTACCATAGGCAAACTAGTGCCATCTGGGATCAAGTTTCTACTTTTGTGTATGATAATCTGGGTATCCCCATGATGTGTTTGGGGGACTTGAATGACATCCTGTATGATATTGATGGTTGTAATGGCTATGTGAATTACTATCGTATGCATGCTTTCCGTTCCCTTGTCAAAAATTGTGGTTTGTTTGATATTGGTTATTGTGGTCCAGCCTATACTTGGCGCGGTAGACAACACACTTCTAAACCTATTTATAGACGCCTTGACCGTTGTTTAGTTAATTCTGAGTGGTGCATGCATTACCCTAATACCAAGGTTCTTAATCTGCCTATTATTTTGAGTGATCATGCCCCCTGGTGTCTACTGAAGGTAATTTTGTCAAGCCTCGGCAAACTTTCAAATTTGAAAATTGGTGGTCGATGGAGAAAGATTTTCATGCCTTTGCTAAATCTGCCTGGAATGCTAGTCCCTCACATTCTTTTGCAGCAAAATCCTCTTCTTTGGCAGGGTCTTTGAAAATGTGGTGCAAGAAGAAGAAGCCTTTTCAGAATGATCTTTTGGACTTGGAAGCTTGTATCAATCAACTGCAGCAACTTCCTTTACAACAACAGGACCATAATTTGGAAACTTCTCTCACTAATAGGTATGAGTTCACTCTTTCTAAACTTAATCAGTTCTATAAGCAACGTAGTAAGAACAAATGGGCTGTTGCTGGTGACCGTAATACTAATTTTTTTCACCAAGCTGTTGTTAAGCGTAGGAAGAGAAATACCATTTGCTCTGTTAAGGATGAGAATAATATGATTCATTTCAATCCTGCTGCTATCACGAATACCTTTGTTAAATACTTTCGCTACATTTTCTCTTCCCCGAATGATAATGTGGGTAATCCTTACCTTTGAACACAATGGCCCAGTGGCTCTTTGGATCCCACCTATGCTCTGCCTGACAATCATGAGATTTTGCAGATTCTGAAGGATATGAAACCTAATGCTTCTCCAGGTCCGGATGGTTTTAATGTTGAGTTCTATTTAGCTACTTGGACTGGATTGGAGACGAGGTAACTCAGCTTGTTGTTAATTTTTATCTTTCTGGAGTTCTTCCTCCTCATATTAATAACACCAACATTGCTCTCATTCCTAAAAAACGTGTTCCTCAAGTGCCTATGGATTACAGGCCTATTAGTCTTTGTAATGTTGTTTATAAGATCATTGCTAAATCTCTTGCTAACAAGATTAAACCTCACCTTCCTGATTATATAGATCCTGCCCAACAGGCTTTCATTGAGGGTAGAAGAATTAGTGGTAATATTAAAATTGCTCAAGAGATAGCTCACTCTTTCTCTCTCAAATCTTGGAAACATGATGCCTTCATGTTAAAAATTGATCTTGCTAAAGCTTTTGATAGACTTGAGTGGGACTTCATTGTTCTTGCGCTTACTCGTAAAGGGCTGCATGCTCATTTCATTAACTTAGTGCATGCATGCATCTCTTCTCCCACTTTTTCTGTTCTTATTAATGGGCAGCCTTCTCATAAATTTAAAAGTTTTCGAGGGATTCGACAAGGCTGTCCCATGTCCCCTTACTTGTTTGTTATTGCCATTAATGAACTTTCGATTGCTCTTAATGAGGCGCTTCAGGCTAACCATTTGCAGGGTATTTCTCTTGGTCCAAGTTGCCCTTTGGTTCATTCACTTCTATTTGCAGATGACCTTTTGGTTTGTGGTCAGGCCACCCATCATGAAGCTCAAACTATGGCAAATCTTATTCGGCAATTTTGTGATCTCTCTGGCCAAACTCCCAACTGGAGCAAATCTGCAATCTTGTTTAGCTCGCATGTTTCTCAGGCTACTATTCAAGACATTAAGCATATTTTCCCTGTTTCTAATCTTGATGCTAATTTCACTCATCTTGGTCATCCTCTCATTCTCCCTGCTAATAATAGACTGGCTGCTTACAATTTTGTCCTTGATAAATTTTTAAATAAGCTGCCTTCTTACAAAGCAAACATGCTCTCTCATGCTGCTAGACTTGAACTAATTCGCTCAGTTTTCTCGGCTATTCCCGTTTATTAC